GAACCAATATTTCTATTTATTTATTGCAGTTGGGCTAACTTGACTAATTGTAAGCATTGTTATTAAAGTTGCTCTGCTTTTTAGTGAAGAGATTTTGACTTTGTTTCTCAAATGCAGGGCCTTCTATCAGATGGCACCGTAATTGCTGTCAAGCAGCTTTCTTCCAAATCAAAGCAAGGGAATCGTGAATTTGTGAATGAGATAGGCATGATTTCTGCTCTGCAACACCCTCATCTTGTCAAGCTTCACGGATGCTGTATTGAAGGAAATCAACTATTGCTTGTCTATGAGTACATGGAAAATAATAGCCTTGCTCGTGCTCTGTTTGGTAAATATTACTCTTGTATGCCTAAACTTCATTTGGTTCATGCAGATGGGTATAAAAGATCTTATACATAAAAAATGTCCCTTATAACTAACTTTGAGTGATTTGACAAATTGAAGGGCCAGAAGAAAGTCAGTTGAAGTTGGATTGGCCAACAAGGCACAAGATCTGTGTTGGTATAGCTAGAGGTTTGGCTTACCTCCACGAGGAATCAAGATTGAAGGTCGTTCATAGAGACATCAAGGCTACTAATGTGCTGCTTGATAAAAATCTTACCCCAAAGATATCTGACTTTGGATTGGCCAAGCTTGATGAAGAGGATAATACACACATTAGCACCCGTATTGCTGGAACTTAGTGAGTCCCTGTGCTATTTATTTTAATTTTAATTTTAATATTCTTATACTTTTATTTTGATTTCTTCCACCCCGATGATGGGTCCATAGAAATAGGAAACAGATGGCGGTTTCTCTACTTTTTATAAGTTTCAAACTTAACTAGATCTGTACTGTTAAAGAAACTTTGTAGTATTTTTAGTATTTCGCTAAGCTATATGGGGAAATGATGAGCCATTTTTTGCAGTGGATATATAGCGCCTGAATATGCAACGCGGGGTTATCTGACTGATAAAGCAGATGTTTATAGCTATGGAATTCTTGTATTGGAAATTGTTAGTGGGAGGAACAACACCACTTACAGAGGAAAGGAAAAAAGCTTTTATCTTCTTGATTGGGTAACATGATTCTACTGCTTCCTTATTTAAGTTAAATTTAATCTAATACTGTTGATCTCTATTAGTCTATGTTTGTGTTGAAATTGTAGGAGGTGTGATGTGTGTTGCTCTGATACCATTGTTGGTTTATGTGGTGAAGGTGTTTAGGACAATAGACAATCGTTGAAACAAAGTAATTTTATTATATTGGAGGAGAATAGTACATGGCTTGGTGTAGGCTAATTGGCCTCCTTAACTTGTTGGCTTATTGGCCACCACACTTGATTTAGAATATAGTTTGAGGTATTTGGCCCTAGCTTAAATTGGTGAGCTTATTGGCTCCTCAACATAGCTTTATTTGGGTAGCTCTTGGCTCCCTAATAGTTTGGGAGTTCTTTTTGTTGGACTCCACATGGATTGGGAGTTGGTGGATGACTCCACTTTGCTTTGGAAGGCTACAAATCCTTTTATAGGTGAAAGTAGCCGACATAGGCTTTCTCCACCAACGTGATCTCTTTACTCCAGCCACAAGTGTGTGGCTTTCTAGAATAATCTTCATGGTTGCATGTAGTTGGCGACTTCCCATCAAGCTTCTAGATTTTTCTATACAAATGTGTATTAATTTTCAACACTCCTCTTTAATACACATTTGTATTTCTCCAAGTATGCTCCTCATAAAGCTAGCATTGATGAAGCTCTAGTTGATGCTACAACTCCGTGCTCTTGTGGCACTTTGTTTGTTCGTGCTCTTGTAACACTTTCTTTGTTCATAGTTACCTTGATAGTTGTTTGCTAGCAATATTTTTTTTTTCTTCTCAACGCCCAATTTTTTAGTTTTAACATACGGGCTTCTTTTTTGCACACCCCACATGGAGGAAAGTTTTTCCTCTCATGCCATTTCTTTTATTTTCACTATCTCCTCCTCTACAACTTTCGCTAGATCTCCTTCCCCTTCTCTAGATTTTTTGAAAACTTGAATTATGTATTGATAGCACGTACGTTGCTTCCTTAGAATCAGCCCATGCGCCCATAGTTGATCGAACTAACTCTGACGCCTAATGCGATCGAACCAGCTCTGATACCATGAAGATTTTTCTAGATGAAGCCACACACTTGTGGCTGGAGAAAAGAACAAGGAGGTGGCTAAACAATAACCACAAAAATATAGAAGTTTCTAGTAAAAGCCACATACTTGTGGCTAGAGTAAGAGACCAAGTCAGGAGACTTGGTGATGTCGGCAAAGATGCCTATAAATAGGCATGCAGCTTACAAGTGTGGTGGAGTCCAACAAAAAGAACTCCCAAACTATAAGGGAGCCAAGAGCTAACCAAAAAAAGCTATGTTAGGGAGACAAAAAGCTCACCAATCTAAGTGAAGGGCCAAATAGTCCAAAACTAATCTAAACCAAGTGTGGTGGCCAATAAGCCAATAAGCTATGAAGAATGCCAATTAGCCTACACCAAGCCATGTACTATTCTCCTCCAAATCCAATAAAATCACTACTACAAAAAACGAAATAGACGACGGGGATCCACCGTCGTTGTAATGCTTTGAAATCCGTCGTTAAATCGACCGCCGTCTATTTGGGTGTCAAACTACGACGGCTTTTCACCGTCGTTGTTTATCTGTAAAGACGACGGTTTTTAAAGAAAATCGTCGTTGTTTAAAGGTAAAGATCGTTAATTATAGGATGAAAGACGACGGTTTTAAAAACCGTCGTGTATTTTATGTAAAGATGACGGTTTTTTATGAAAACTATCATCTTTACATACAATAGACGACCATTTTTTAAAAAAAACAGTCATCTTTACTTCACAATAGACGACCCTTTTTAAAAAAAAACCGTCATCTTTACATATAATAGATGACCCTTTTTAAAAAAAAACCGTCATCTTTACATATAATAGACGACTCTTTTTTTTTTAAAAACGTCATCTTTACCTATAATAGACGACTTTTTTTATTTATAAAAACCGTCGTTAATTATCTGTAAAGATCATGATTTATTATAAAAACCGTCGTCTAATAAGTTCCCAAATTGCTA